CTACATGCTCTTCTTAAAATGTGATATTAGCACTCTCCACCAAGAGGTGGGGTATGTTTTCCTTTTTCTTGAACCTATGCAGACCTTTAACTGCCTTGACCACAATAATGCCATGGGAGAGATGCTGTGTGACTTCTAAGGCTAGGTCAGAAAAGGTGTTGGAACTTTTACCTTGTCTCTTGGATTGATCGCTTTAGAGGATAGTAAACAACTGCATGAAATGCAGTGGACGCACACTGCTAAGAGAATAAGTAATCTGTCCGGGTAGAGCTTCACAAAGAGATTCCTGGGGCCCTTTATTTGCCCCCTCCACCAGTCGGGGAGCTGCCACAGACTTACATGACCCAGCCCAACAAGCAGACTCCTCCCTGACCTTTCTGCAGATGTAATTATAATCTATGATTGTGTTTTGTTCAAGAAAACTGAGTTACATGCCTTGATGATTGTGATATAATAAGAAATAAATATTTGGTCTTTTTCCTGAGTTCCTGACACAGTGATTTTTAAAGCTCTCGGAATTTCCTGAGCAAGGGTGGGTGAGAGAGGCATCTTCTGTTATAATATTTGGTCTCTGTTCCTGGTTCCTGACACTGAGCTCCTAAAACTCATGGAATTCCCCGCACAATAAGAGTGCCTTTGGTGTACAAACAAGATGACCCTTCTCTGAGGGGCGCCTTAATAGCTTCAGGATGGGGGCTGGCTGCTAGAAAGACTGAGTCTTGATTAGAAACTTGGAACTTTCAGTCCCATCCCCAGACCTCTGGGGGAGGGAAGGGGGCTGGAGGGTGAGTTCGATCACCAATGGCCAATAATTAATCATCATACCTACATAGTAGAACCTCCATAAAACCTCCTAAATGGCAGGGTTTAGGGTGCTTCTGAGTGGGTGAACACTCCCATGTGCTGAGAGGGGTGGTGCACATCAACTCCACAGGGACAGAAACTCCTTGCTGGGGTTCTTCCAGATCTCACCCTATACACCTCTTCATCTAGCTGTTCATTTGTCCCCTTTATAATAAACTGTAGTAAGTAAAGTGTTCCCTTGAGTTCTGTGAGCCACCACAGCGAATCATCAAACCTGAAGAGGAGGTCAGGGCACCTCCCATGTGAAGCCAATTGGTCAGAAGTACAAGAGGTCTAAGACTTGAGATAGGCACCTGAAATGGGAACAGTCTTGTGAGACTGAGCCCTTAACCTGTGGGGTCTGTGCCAACTCTGGGTCGTTGGTGTCAGAAATGAATTGAATCATAAGATACCCGGTTAGTATTCGGAGAATGGAGAAGTGCTTGGTGTGAGAAAAAAAGAAACCCACATTTTGTGTCAGAAGTGTCGGGTAGTAAAACCAGTTCACAATTAACACAATGGGTTAACACACTGTCCATTACTGAGTTTATAGTCACAAGCGTTTATAAACATTTAAACTCAAACATTTTGCAAACAACACGTACAACTGAACTGGCTGCACACCATCCATCCTCCTGATATTAACACAGAAGACAGTGGACTGATTCAGCACACATTGTTACGTGCAGTAAAAGCCCGCCCCGAGGTTTCCAGCCGCCCCCTCTTTTATACCTTGTTCACCACTGGGTTTGCATTCAGTGTGGAATAAATAAGAACAACAACAAAATAAGAACAACAGATTTTTCTCTTCAGTGCCTCATTTCCTTCTGCTTTCTAAATTCTCCAATTCCCTAAGACACAGCAGTTATCTACATTCTGCAAAACAGCACATGAAAGACCAACACAAACCACCCCCTTCCCCGAGCATCCTTAATACTCAGAGTCAAAGCACTCAGCACTTAAAAATATGCCTCTGGATCCCTGCAGTCTCATGTCGTCTTGTGGAGCTTGTAAGTTCTTTGTCAAGGGCCGAGATGTGCCACTGAAACACCATTCCCACCCCGTGCACCTTATGCAACGTTAAGAACAGAGTGTGATATGAAGAAATACTTGCTGATTAACCGACTTCTACTAAAATATTAAAATGTTTTCTTCTGTAATCCTGTTTTTGTTGATCACTTGTCTTTAACCCTGAACAAAAACATTCGATGGAAAATGTAAGTTTTCTACACTCTAGTAAAAGGAGGCTGGCCTGGAGCATAGAGGCTGGCGCCAGGCAGAATGAGTTCAAAGCCTAGCTTTTCCTTCGGTGTGGGACCTTGAGCGATTTAACTTCTATGAACCTTAGCTTCAGTGTCTTCAAAATGTGGAGATTAATCCACTTTCCCCATAGGGATGCAGAGAGGATTAATAAGACGTGCAAAGCGTTTAGCACACTTACCTAAAAAGAGTTAGAGAAGCATTCGTGATAATTCTTCAAACGAAGGTATCCAGCAGCCTCGGCATGTTTGGGAGATGAAGAAGGGAAGGTGTTTGTCCTTGGTCCCCTGTTCTCGTCCTGCAGATGAGAGGGCTTTCTTTGCTTATTTTTATTTCCCTCTGGGCATATCTGAAAAAGTACAACCATATACAAATAAAGCATGGAGACTCAAATCCCAGGGTAAACCCACTCTCACCGGCTGCTCAGACCCTTTTCCTTCTGCTGCTGCTTTCTCTCTCCCTGAGCTAAATGCACCTCCAGACAAATTATGTATTTATTTCTCTGATCACTTCTTTAATCGTCATAATGTTTGGGAGAAATAAATGCCCTAGTTTTGTTCTCTTAGACTACTCTCCACAAATTCTTTCATTCAGCCAGTATAAATCTAATCAGGCAAGTTAACCTTTCAAGCTAGGAAGTGGTTCCACTGTTAATGTTTCTGTTTGGGGGCATTTGGACATGAAAGTCCATTGAACACAACGCACTACTGTCAGCCTACCAGCCTGAATTCACCAAACTGTAGCATCTGTTAAAAATGGAGGGGGTGGGGGAAGACATCATAAAACCAAAGACAACACCCCTACCCCTATCTCCCAGAGGGGGGAAAAAAAAAGATGCTCAACATTTAGAGACTTATGCTGGGATACAACTTACAATTCATGGTCTGGAAGTGACTCCCGTGGCCACCAGGACAAGTCACTTTTTATCCCCTGGGCTAACCAGCTCAGTTACCTTGTCATTTGAGGGGAAAGAGCTTTGGGGAGTAAAGATGAGTGTTCAGACCCTGAGTGAAAATGTAGCTCTGAATTCAGTCCCAGCCCATGGCTTTCAATCTTACCCCCAAATCACCTTTGGAATAACAGGGAAGGGTACCTGGGGAGGGAGACATTCCAAAAGGATTGAGAAGTGGGAACAAGGTGACATCATTTTGATCATTCCCCAGTAATAAGTTCACGTACCAGGGCCTGAGCTTAAATTCCATGCAAAGACCTGAGTTCTGACACGAGATCCCTTCAGATAATTACTTGGCCAGTCATCCACACCAAATCCCCACACGCTAATGATTCATTTTGAAAAGCTCCTAAACAAGCACCAACACCATCTTCCATCCTGATTCTCTTGGATCGAGAAATGCATATGCTTCAGAGGTGCTAACCACTGGGCAGGACGTGGGGTGAGGTCATGTTTGGAGTCAGGAGATGAACCAATAGCGAAGATTTAATGGGCTTTGGAAAAGCAAGTCTGAACAATGTCTTGGGGAATCCGGAGTAACTGTAAACCAATCAAAAACAGGAAAAGAAGCGGCTGTCTTTTACCCTTATGTTTTCGGCCACCCTGTAGAACAGCTGCATCTCACTGCCTCACTGGCTACCCCAGTCCAACGATGGTTTACAGGCTGAAATCCCAGTCTCAATACTCCCTCCAACTGGGAGGGGAAAAAAACAGGGGATGAGACCAGCACAAAAGGAGAACTGTGAATTGCAGTGTCTTTTTAAAAGCCTGTAACTCTGCCCTTCTACTAATCAGTCTTCTACCTGGCATGATCATTTTTATAAGATATTGCCTCATCGCAATTTCAGCAAAGCAGTGCCAGTCTTCTCCATAATCCTGGCAAGAGAGAGTAAGGTGGGGAAAGACAAGAGTCTCCAACAGTGATAAGCAACCCTAATTTTTAGGATTCAAGTGATTCAGCCTGAGAGCTAAAATAAGTAAAAGCTTAAGTAAGCCAGGTTCCATGTGACTGCTTCTCAGATATGCCCGGAGATTAACATTAGTGGTTGAAAAGCAACATACATTTTCCTACTGACTTTCTTTTATTCCACAATGTAGGTATTTTCAATAGCCAATAACCCCCCTGCTGTGGGACTCATTAAAACGACTGCCATTTTGAATAAAGAAAAAAAATGAAACTGTAAAAAAAATTTTTTTGATACAAGCAAAATAGGGTAGTTTTGTAATGGTTTATAGAGTTCATTGCCTTGTATGTATATCGAGGCCAAATTGTGAAAGCTCTATGTATTGGATGCTTGGTGTCTTGTAGAACTTTTGTCAAGTCTTGAGGCTGACAGTATGAAAATAACTTATTTTTTTAGGCACTCTTAGGCTGACTGCCTAAGATCAAGTCCAAAAGAGTGAGTGGGAAGGGATTAAGAGATGATCTCATTTGGAGAATCAAGCAAGATGCAGCCCCATAACCACCCCATAAAGGTACAGTGAGGGTCAGTCACCAACTAGGGGTGGTCTGGAGTCTCGTTAAAGCCAGCTGCTGCTAGAAAAGAGTCAAAACCCCGTGCCAGCCCCTACACCATGTCTAGGTCTAGGGGAGATGGGAACAGGAGCAGATCCCAGCCAGATGGTCTGAGGTTCTCTGAAGACATGCTTACTGGATATCAACCCCTGAATCATAAGAGAGAAACATCAGGTGCCCAGATGATTCAGATAGGAAGGAACCGGGCCCCTTCACATTCTTGCACAGAACAGAGTAACTTCTTGTGGTAATCCATGCTGAGTGAGATCTTGAAATGCCACATCCCTCCAGCATCCTGCATTTCTAGGCCCCTAGTTCTACCTGGGCCTGGGAGAGGTGCAGGAAAACTTGTGAGCCCCCGAGGATACATTTGAGACTACCAGGACTGGCTACATCTAATCAGCAACCATTCCAGCTAGACCTCACTGGAACCTGAGACAAACACTAGTTCCTACATGATCAGATTATGGCTGCAGCCACAGGCACTGCAGTGAAAGAAGGACAGGAATGCCAGTGGGAACAGAGATGCTTAGAGGAGAATGAGGCAGAAAGCTGGATCTATCAATCTCTCAAGCCTGGCAGCATGGCGTGGAGTAGGACTGGCATGACTAAGGCACAGACTGAAGGAAGGAGCAAGGGTGAGCAGACATGAAGATGAAGGCAAACCTCGCTCCAGGCTTTCTAAATCCACTGCACTAAGAGCTCTGAGTGCTTGTAACTGTAATCTCAGTTGGTTCCAGAACTGGTTTGGGTTGAGCTGGTGAGTGAAGAGCAATGAGTTCAGCTGGAAATACATAGAATGTGCAGCAGATGTCTCTCTTATTTTAAATATGATAATGGAGAATTCAAAGACAAATTTGTAAAATCTGTCATTTTTTTCATACCGGACATTCTGCTGAGCACATGATTTTATTCAATTACCCAACCATCCTACCAGGCAGATATTTAGACACTTTACAGACAAGACAATAACACTCAAAAAGGTTAAGGAATTCCTCCTCTTCACATCAAATAAAATAAAATAAAATTGCCATATCTCTGTCTCCGAAGTCTGCCCCATTTCATGACACTGGTTTGTCTCATCAAGATATGGCTTCCAATTTTAATCTTTCTATTATCTGGCCATGTAGTGTGAGAAAAGCCATCAAAATTCTTGAGGCTCTGGTTTATTCACTATTAAACTGTAAGGGGATAGAACTGAATGATTTCCAAGACCTTCTCTAAAACTTCATTTCAGAGCTGTGTCTCCAGAAGGTGATATGAGAAACACAGTAATTCTTCAGGTGTAGAATGGGAAAGAGTGTTAACTCCTGAAGGACTGTGGATTATTTTAAATTACCCCCAGGCATGATGGAGCTTGTCATGTTCGATGATTAAGGGAATGGAGGGAATCTGCATGTCCAGCAAAAGCCTTCCCTGGTCTGCAATAAAATGTCCACCCCAGAGGGAAGGTGAAAGCACACGATTTCTGAATTTCCAGAAATGGCATTCCTCTCATGTTTTTATAGAGTTCCCTGGTGTTATAATTAAGGAACTCAGTGGGCAGCCTCTGTTCACTGCTAACTAAATGAATTCTGATCTGCTTGGGTCAGGAAAAATATGACGGTATGATATTCTGACTTTCAGCGTTCCTACTCTTCCCCTGATATTTCAAATCAACAACAGCCCCCCCTGAGTTTAGCTTTGATGATCTAATTTGAGCCTGATTGCTGAGCTCTCCATGAGAAACCACCCAACTGCTCCGGCTATGATTCTCCTTGCCTAGGAAATAGCTTTCAAGGCATCTCTCTCTGTGTGTGCCCCCAGAAACTGAATAAGATGAAAAAGCGCTTACAGTTCTTGCATAAAGGGCTTGAGACTGACCCAAGAAAATTACCTGAGAGCAGGGTTTACAATAAGCCATAGGAACAATAAAACATTTTGAAATGTTCCTCTTTAAATTCTAAACAGTTATCCTAGGATGATCTAAGTGTGTCGGGAAGAACACTGGGTCTAGAATCAAACAGACCTGAAGCCCCATCTGAGCTCTGCAATTTACTAGGCTTTGACCTTGGAAATCATACTGAACTTCAATTTCCTCAGCTGTCAAGTGTCCTCATTAATAGCCATTTCACAGGATTGTGAAGCTGTAGTAAATTTACTTGTGTTAAACCTCTGTATGATTCTGGCATTATGTTCTAAGTAAGAGTAACAGCCACCATTATTTATTAAATACCTGCTGTACACCAAGTTCTGGACCAAGAACTTCATGCACATCAACTATAGGGGTCACATCAATCCTGCAAGGTGAGTCCTGTGTTATTAATTGTGTCTCACTGAAGAAGAGACTGAGGCATAAGCAGGCAAAGTAACTGACCCAAGATCTTCCTGCCAGATAAGAAACAACCCTACTGCATCAGAAGAGATGGAAATCATAAATGTGCCATTTGATCTCTTTGCTTTTCTGGGAAACAGTGAAGTCAATTCAGAGAAAAAGTCTCATCGATGAAGAAAGAAAATGTTTCTGATGGTATACTTGAGAGAAGGAAAAAGTAAAACTGCCCCTCATGAACTCAATATATGATCTCCCATCCAGGGGTTACTTTGGCAGATAGCTTGATAGGGAAATGATTAAAGCAACAGAAAGATGCACAATCATGGGACACAGGGATTCCACAGGCAATTGCTACGGGTATTCAGCTGGAGCCCTGTGGTTGCCCACATTTCTCTGGACCAACGCTTTCTACACAGGTCTTATCACAAGGCAAGTGGACTGTCCTTGCTTTTATAGGAAGCTTGGGAACTACAACCTATGAGACAATCTCTAAAAACAACTTAGTCTTCAGGAAGGAAAAATACTTTATTCATTGATATTTGAAATGGAATGCTGTTACACTTTCCTGAGCTGAAAGAGGTATTAAGTAGGCAAGTTCACAGATTGCTTCTGGTATCACTTGGGACATTAGCTTCAACACAAAAGCAACCTCACATCAAAATTCCTTTTGGAAACCTGAGGTCTATGAACAATGCCATGCCTCACATCCCTGACACCTTCAATCACTGTCCCAAAGATATGACCCTCCAGTCTTGTGTCCTGCCCTTAACCCTGAACATCAAACTAATATTTGGATCAGGGAGAAACAAGTACCCACATCTGTTCACTCCCAAATTTTTCTACTATCTCCTCTAGAACCCTGTTACCTGCTCACCAAAGTCCAGTGCATTTTCATCCTCCAAAAGGGAACCTGTCACCAATTCCTTGCTGAACTCAAACCTGGACCTCCCCCGGGCACTCTTCTCTTCTACAGCCCTCGTTGAGGGTGGCTTTTGGTCTCCTAAGCCTCACTTGACATGAGACTTGGAGGTGGGCCAGCGTTCTCTGCAGGCATGTGCCTTCTAGTATACAATCCTGAATGCCTTTTCCTGACTGTCATCACCCAACCCCTCACATTCATCCTCAAACATGAAATGGCAGCTGATTCACACTCTCCTCTCCACCACCGGCCTTACCATCACCCAGGGTGGTTTCACAATCTCTCTGTGGGCCCCATAAAATGCCTTTCGCCACAATTCCTAGGACTTCTTGATCCAATAATCTTTGATTCTGCTGTAATTGTGTCTCCCACATATACAGCCACACCCTGAAACTTGTCCCACAGAATTGCTTCACTGATGAAAACATAACCTCCAGTACTCCACAGCCTGACCACACAACCTACTTAAACTTTCTGTTCTTTCATTTAATTCCTTTAACCTAGTTCTTAAATTTCTTTATAAAAAAAAAAAAGCCAGTCCTTTGACCCATTTCCCCATGCACCCATTTTCCCTGCTCCATCGGTTCCTTCCTGGCTTCACTTTCCTTCCCTTTCCAGCCTAAACCAGCTCTTCAAACATTCTCTTGTCAATAACTTCAATTTTTTCATTCCATTGTGTTTCCTCCAAATGGGTTCATTAAAATTCTGAACTTAAATCATTTCTACTTCTGTCTGCTCCCTCTGAACCTACACTCAGGCATCCAGGCAAAGCAGGAGAAAAAACTGTACAGTATGCTTCTACAAATCCATAATCTTCAGCCTTAGCTATTGCTTCAACAATTTTTCTATATGCACCTAGTTCTCTCTCACTATCATCCCCCTCCCAAAGATTGCTTCAGTTCTTTACCACATTCAGTTACCTATCCT